AAAGTAGACCACTCAAATTTTCTTGAGATTAAAATGAGATTTGAACCATTATTGGATATGAGTTGACTTTATTATTCATGCATCTATCAAATGTGTGGACTATACTTACATCATATCATCCCGCTTAACATTTTCTAAATCAAATGTTGACTTTTCTAAGAAAAAATAAATCAAATGTTGACTATATTTACATCAATGTCATCTAGCTAACATTTTCTTTTTCTCTCTCACTTTTTTTAACCCTAATTGTTTTCATATTAGATCTAGCTAATTATTTATTCACGACATAGATTTTTGTTTAAACCTTAAATTTATAAAGTTGAACTTTSATTCGAGAGTAGATTTACGTATTTTAAGCTATAAATTTGCTAATTCCATATCAGCTTCAAACCATGTTACGTTTTCTTAAAAATAATAATAATAATAATAATTTGTTAATTATATCAAATAGCTAGGTCAAACAAAATCAAGTCATAGAAAATAAATTTTTTGGCAAATTATCAATAAATGAATCATGTAAGCTTTTTTTAAGGTTATTTATTTATTGGCTACAGCTAATTAATTCTCATCAAAATAAGGTGATTCGAATCTCCAACCTCCACATGTTGTACTAAAAAATATACAAACAATAAAGAAATAAAAATGCATGATACATTCTCATTGTTCATCAAAGTAGTGTTTAACTAATCAAAACCTTAACACACCTCTCGTAAAAGTTCTATATCGGAATCTACCACCCCATATTTGAATGGTAACACCAAAATAAATATGGAACAAAATAAAAATTATATATTGTTGCACAGACATAAACTAGTTTGATCGCTAGAAAGGAGGTGGGGGCGATCTGCGGATGAATTGATGCTGCCATTGAAAATCCGGCCCTGAATCTGTCGGCGGATGACGTGTAACAACCACCGCCAGCCGCCGTAACATGAACGGAGATTGCTTCTCCGGTGAAGGTGGTGCAAATATAATAAAAGGGTTATGAGGAACTACCGGTGGAGGCGGTTGTAGTTGCAGTGGTGGCGATATGAAGGGATGAAAAGGAAGAGATTGGGCAGTTAATTTTGATAAAGAGATCAATGCAATGAGAAGGGAGAGAACCAAAGGGGGCATTATTTCAAACCTCATTGTTGATTATATCTTCACGACTTTGGCATCTCACACTATTAATATTATGAAAATTTCTCATAAAAGCTTCTATATATATAGGAAATATATAATAGGAGAATATTGTAATGGATCCACCAGACTAGTTTTGTCATATTTACAAATGGTAAATAAAATCTTATAAATATGACAGTTTTGTAGTGTCATATTTGCAATATAATATAGTAACTAATGGCTATAGATGTCTATGAGTGTATTTTTTAATGAAATATATATATGTGCAACTTTCTATTAACGTTTATCAATGGGTCATCCCTAATACACAATATTGTTTATCACCGGTAGATATGGATAAATGATAACGGTCTAGTTTTGAAATATTCGGTACTATCATAGTATTAAAATTCATAAATAGGGCTTTGAGGTTGATTGAAAGTTGCRCTCCGAAGATGGAAAGATTCCTGGAAATAAAAAATAACGCCTTGAGGTGGAGGATTGTACTTGGAAATGGAAACTCAGTCCCCCTCGCACTATATTTTAAATTAGGGGCTCGCCTCTTTCTTTCTCTGTGTCTATCTCTTATCAAGTGTGCTCGAATGTGCAGATGCATTATGCACCATATATATGAATTTTGTGCACCTCATTCAGTTTAATAATATTCTATTGAGCAAACTTGTTAAATTATGGATGTGTTTAGGAGTGATTTGATGTGACCAAAATTATTTTTGTCATTATCAAAATCGTTTCCCTTTCTATTGATCATGCTTGGCAAATTAAAAAATTGAATTTAGAAAAGTTTAAAACCACTCTAAATTAATATGTAAGGTATCACTTAGATTGTGATTTTAAAAAATCAATTATACTTAAATCTTTTTTTTCAAAATCACTGATTCTACCATAACTCTCAAATACGCTCTATAAATTTCAAATTTTCCACACCACCCGACAAATATTGACCGTAAAAGTTCAACATTGTGCAAAGTCATGCATTGCATAGAGAAATTTCACAATGAGAACTGTTTGATATTAGTAGGCTGTGTGGAAAAATATTCAAAATAAGCATAATTGATGCTCACCAACCAAAAACTGACCTACTTTACACGCTCATTTGTGTTGCCCCACAATTTTCTTTTAACTTCTTGTCCTCCTGATTATATTTAATGAGTATTCACGTCCATTTGTGCTGGCTTTTCTATTTTCCAACGCGCTTATGCGTTTCTCGACTCATCTCATCAAATAATCACATAATTCCCAGTTTAGGTGGGGTAACCACAAGATTTTATCTCATTTCTCTAAAGTCTCTAAGAAATTAAACATATAACAATTTGTCCAAAATAATAGCAAAAATCTAACAAAAACAAAAAATATACGTAAATATATGACACAATTTTTAAGCTTAGCCCAAACAAAAATGTGTAAAAGTGCATGTCTATTGATGATAGATGTCAATCACTAATAGGCATCTACTTAATAGAAGTAATAGACGTTTGTCTATCACTAATAGATTTTTATCAATAACTATCACTGATTGATTTTTATTAATGATAGACTGGTATCAGTAGTCGAGGTCTATCAGTAATATAACTTCTATCAGTTATATTTTGACAATATTTTCTATTCAGGATTGTGTTGCATGCTGATATGTTATTAGGTTTATTACTTATATACCATCAATAAAATAAAAACGATGTACTAGTGACATATTAATTAATTGGATAAATAAATGGTATATTAGTGACATTTGGTCTATTGCTAATATAATTTATCAATAGAATAAAATGGTATAATCTGCAGTATTTAACTTTCATTTTATATTAGTAATTTATTTGTGTGTTCTCATTTAAATAAGTTTTCTTACCAATACACTTCATCCATGGGATAAAAATGATATATCAGTATTATTTAAGACTCATTTGATAACTATTTTTATTTTTTTGTTTTGTTTTCTGTTTTTTCATATATGTTTGATAACTGTTTTTTGTTTTTTTATTTTTAAAAAAAAAACAGAAAACAAAATATGTTTGGTAACCATTTTTAATTTTCGGTTTTTTAAAAGTTATAAAATTGGAAATATATATTAGAGAGAAATTTCTATTTAGAGTAGATGACAATAGTGTGAGACAGGGTATAAAGATGCACTCTCATTCTCATAAAAATCTTTAGTCCACCATCTCTACCTCGTTCTTCGATTTGGTAATTGAGAACCAAGTTAAAAAAAATTACCAGTTTTGTACTTAATTTTAATTATTTTTAGAATTGAAAAAAGTGATATATTGATTAGTTTTGGAATTATTATTTACTATTTTAATAATTAGTTTAAAAATATTTAATATTTTATTCACAATTTAGTAAATATATTAATAAAATATATATTAATTATTAAAAAGATGAAATCGAGACGGGTTTGGGACATGCATTTCTTATTCTTTAGACAGATGGAAATAATTTTTTTAAGGAGAAATTTTGATGAGATAAAGAGAGATTTAGAAAAATAAAATTTAAAGACAAAAATAGATAAATTTTAAAGAAAAAAGAAATTAAAAAGAAAAAAAACTTATAATTAAAAAAATAAGATAAAAACAAGAATATACTTTTTAGAGAAAATAAATAAATAAAAAGATAAATAAAAATTATAGTAAAAGATTATTGAACGAGAAAATAAGATATAATTTTCAGGAAAAATAGATTGGGAGCAAAAGAAAAGCTTTAAAAAACAAAATTGTAGTAAGAAAACTTCGAGAAAATATTAAATTTTTAGAAAGAAAAATGAGACTGATCGGTTGGAAAAAAAGAAAAAGTATATATATATATATGAAGATGAAAAATTTGGAGAGAGAAAAATAATAATAAATATTTAAAATATGAAAATTTTTTTTAGAGGGAAAAATAATTTTTTTTCCTTTGAAAAAAAAATAAATTTTGGAGAAAGTTACGGAAAAAATTTAGAAAGAAAAAAAATTGTTACAGATAAATATGAGGTGAAAAAAAGTTGATTAGGAAAAAAAATAGATTTTGAAAAATAGAAATCAATTTTTGAAAACTACTTTTCTTTTTGTTCTTGAAATTTACATGGAATTTCAAAATAGTTTTTTTTAAAACTAAAATGGAATTGGTTACCATTTTCCAATTTATACAGTAATATTTTTTTATAAATTTTTAATGATATCGACAGTTTGAGAATTAATTGTCTAAGGTATATCTTTTCTCAACTTTATATCCTATCTACTACAAATGTGAGGTTATTTAAAATATAATAGTTAGTAAAATCTTGGATTAGAATATAAAGTTTTTTTTTTTTTTGGAAGCAATTAGAATATAGAGTTAAACTTTAATGGTAAGATATAAATAAATAAATCAAGCAGTAATTTTTAAAGGTGATTATTGTAGAATAAGAAATATAAGCTATAATACACAATAAAAACAAAACCATGTTTGCAGCATGGATTTGAGAACCTTGGCTTCCTAATCATCCCATAGGGCTGAATAGTAAATCGGTTGCCCACTATTTTTTTCCTTTTTTATTTACTTTTACTTTTTTTCTTTTTCTTCTTAATTTAGAAAATGAAATACAATATTGTAAAATGGTGGAATAATTTTTTAAAAAGTCAAAAAATCCAAATTGGTGCTACACATTCCTATACCCCAAACATACTACCCAATCCTAAGTTACAACAGAAACAGGCTTCCCAATCTCATACATCACAATACCAAATCTAGCCTCAAGTTTAACATTTCCAAGCTATTGATGTCGAACTCATGCCTCAAATCCCAGATCAGAAACGAGAGGCAGACACAGATTTGAGTGCTATGGGTATATATCTATATATTCACAACAGGAAATACACTATATATATATGCTCCACGGACCACGAACACGAATAACAAACTGATCAAAAAGGAGGTGGAGCGGTTTTAACTGTGAAATTGGGTGGCCATGGCGGCTTCTCCCTTAGTAAGACCCCCGGGGGAAGGTGGTTGAGTGGAGAACGATAGGGGCATTTTGCAGAGGGCGGCGGTGGTGTATGTTCATAAGGTTCCTCCGATGGGGATGGTGTAAATGTGAAAGGAAAATATGGAACTATCGGTTCGGCAACAGCAACCGGAGATGGTGGTGGTGGTGATGTGTGTTCATAAGGTCTCACAGATGGAGATGGTATATATACAAAAGGGAAATAGGGAACTATTGGCTCCGCAACGGCAACCGGAGATGGTGGTGGTGGTGATGTGTGTTCATAAGGCTTCACAGATGGAGATGGTATATACACAAAAGGAAAATAGGGAACTATTGGCTCAGCAACCGGAGGTAGTGACCACTGTAATTGCTTATGCTTCTTTGGTGGCAAGGGAAACAAGGAAACAATGGGAGGAGGAGCTGCTGGAGGAGGAGAAGATGGATGAACGTGTTGTGCACTTAATTTTGTTGACACATTTAAACAGACCCATGCAATAAGTATTGCAGTTGCACACCCCATATTCCTCTCCAATCTCAACAACCTGAGCTGGGTTTCAAAACTTGGCCTCTCCCACTAATTATATATGAAAATTTCTCATAAACATTCTATAGAAAATTCAGAATCATAACTGTTTGGCATGCAACATCAACAGTAGGGACACCCCTTTCTATCACTCAAATGGACAGGGGGAGAAGACATGGAAAAGTTTGTACAAATATGAACTCTAGGATACAAAATTCAATGTCATAAATAGCTGGGGCCATAACTATAGAAAATTCAAATTCAGCATGCAAAACGACCAACTTAATAAATCCATACAATAGCATTGCTCTTGTAGTCATCTCTCGACTTCTACATAGTGATTTATAAGATGATAGCTAGGAAACTGCCCTGAAATTTCGTGGATCTTCAAAAAGAAGGTGATTTATAAGATGATAGCTGGGAAACTTCCAAGATACTTACTACCTAAATCAAAGAAATTTCTTTTATGGTGACTGTTCAACTAATAAAGACTAGTTGATTGAAATAATCCATCTTGAAGTCGAAATTTAACTCTGAATCCTATTTGTTTTACTTACATGGGGATAAGACATCATCATGTCAAGAGGTATGTTTGACTGTAACTGATGCCTCAAACTAACATTTTATTGCATGGGACGGCATACAGTTAGTGCAGTTTTTGAAAGTTAGTTACCTGGGGAATTGCATACTCGTATGGGTTGAATGGCGACCGAAATAGGCTGATTTTGGTGCGTTGGAGGATGCAGGAAATCTGAAAGTTCCTGCTTCAGTACCTGAATGAATCTTACCATGCAAATGTGATAGCAATAGAAAACAATGAAATAAAAATTGTACTAATTTGATTTAGAAATACAGTAAAATAATTCCATGCAATTCCAAGAACTTGAATATCTACCTCTTTAAGCAAAGCTCAAATCCAAACAATAATGAAATTGGTTGTCTTCACCCCTGTTACTCAAAATATTCATAGATTTCCAATAGTTCAATATAATCTAACAAACAAAGTTATCAGCTACTAATAGGACCCCAAACAACATTTATCTTAATTGTTCCTGACAAGAAGCTACAATAATCTGCAGACACAAAATTGGGATGGGGTGAGGAAGTAAGAATAATTATAACTTAAGAGCAATTTTAAATGAGAACCTATATTAACTTGCTAGGGATTCATGGAGATTCTCGAGCGCCCTTATAAAACCAAAAACTAACCTTTCAATATGTCACAAATATTGGAGTTTAAAATATTAATGCATCGGCCAAAACTTTTAAGTGGAAGCGTATTTTTTGTTTGTGTGGGTAAAAACAACAGTTTATAAAATTGTACCAGACATATCTTCACTTTCTGAACCATTGACATGATTGTACATCAAAATTCAATTGCACAATTGACTATTACAACTCTTTGGATCTAATCCCCTTAAATTTAAATGCAACTTAAATATTCAGTGGGGTCGACTACAATTTGGCTATCTTAACAGCATGTCTAACATATAATGGGCGCATGAGCAGCTAGTAAAGTGTGCACTAGAAGATGATACGTCTCCCATTTAAATTGCCCATCCTGTCTCTAAAGCTTATTCACCTTTTACCACCAGATCCAGAACCAGACCTCGGACCTGGATGTCGTGAGAACTGTAGTCGCAAGTAATTAGATTCAGGATCTTGTTCGTCCATTTTATAACCTGTGTAATCAGTCAATTTGTGAGTATATATACGTGTATTCTTTCAACAAAAATACTAAATATAAACTAGTTGCCACATGAATGACGTAACTGCTTGCACATATATACCATCATAGCAGAATAGTGAATTAAGCATGCAACTACATGTCATCTTTAATAGGAAACAAAATTTCATTAATAAGATGTACAAACAAGACTAGCTTCCAAAAGCTGGAGTAACAAAAACCCACTATACTTGTAGAGAACAACACATGGAGTCGCAAAAAAACATTTCACAAATTTTCTTCACCGATGTTCCTCATCTTGAAAAGTTCTTCCATTTATCTCAAACTCTAATCACACTTCTTAAAGCACTGGTGTAACTTTAATAAGCCATAGTTTAGCTCTCTTTGTAAACGGATGGCCATGAAGGGAAGAAAAAAGGCTCTCTCTCTCTCTCTCTCTTGGTTTTTCGGGGGAAAGACAGAGCCTGCATAATGAAATTGTGAAGAAGAAATCTCCAAAGGCTCCACTTGTGCTTCCTGCATAAGTGAAGAACGCAGAAGAAATCTCCAAAGGCTCCATTACAGGAGCCAAAGAAAAAGGGTGATCCATTGACTACTCAACTGAAAGGGTTTTCTGTCTGGATCTTGTCTTAAGTATCCACCCTCCCAAAAAAAGAGTCCAGACAAATTTTAATCTTCTCTGGACAAGGATACATCAAACAGCTCCTATGAAATCTTGCACTGAAAATGGAATTCTCTGAACTCTTACACTGAAATATAGTTTCTCCATACACTGATCTTACCAAACCTGAGTTACAAGAATATGAACCCAAAACTTCCCTTTGTCCAAATATGCTCTTCCTCTTTACTAATCAAGCAATGCCCCTTATCTACTATGAGAGCAATCCACTCCACCACTTCATGAAGATTCCTACTTAAACTGAGATCCCACTAAGTGTGATTCCAATTCAAACACGGCCTGTAAAAGCAGGTTTTCCTCTCCATGAAAGATTGTAAATTCTGGGAAATTCTCAAAGATGACTCCTTGATCAAAGTATTAAAATGCCGTGGGATTTTGGTAATGCGACCCCATCCCAGGTAAGGTTTCCAACTCTAACCAAAACTCCTAAGTTGTCCAAAACTCCTCAACATGGAACACAAACAAGAACGCTCATAGTCACCCCAAATAACCAGAAAGACATGATATACACGCATGTAAATAAGTTCAGTAATAGTATATACATGATAAGATTTTGTCTAAAGAAAAGGATATTCTACTATTAATTATTAATCCCAATCTTTTTTATCTGGAGTGAAAATGAAGTGACATGGGAAAAATGTTGCTTCTATAAGAACAGCAAAAGCCAATGTGGAAGAAATTTGAATATAATCTTGACGCATAGGGCCCATGGATCCATACATGGAAAAGAATCAATGGAAAAAGAAAGAATTGGAATTTGATCATTCACCTTGCAAGGCACTCATGGCAGTTGCTGCACAGGCTGGGTTTGCAAAATCCACAAAACATAATATAAGAGGGTCCCCACCACGCTTTATTTTGGAACAAATGTGACATAAAAAACACAGTAAAGGTTAGCACATATTAAGGAGTTAACAAAGAAATCAAAAAACAAGAAAATAATTACAAGGAAAAAGCCAATTACATGTTTAGATTCTTTGCTCACAAGTCTCAATTCTTTATATCCCACAAACGGGCGGAAAATATCTAAATTGAAGTAAAGGAATGAAGTTCTTAACTAAATAATTGAAAAGGAAGAAAAAATAATTTTGCATCGGGGTCGCCACTAAGATAAAGGATACGAGCTACTTCTCTCCTGGAACTGTCTGAAGGAAGTCCTTCAACATATAAAGTGTTGGAGGCATCAGGTGGAAGAGGTACAGTTTCACGTCCTGGTCTGGTCATTGAATCCATGGGGAGATGATTACCATACTCAATATTTCGACCATTTGGTGCCAGATCGGGAGAAACTGCAGGAGGACGACTCATTACAACAGGATCGGGTATTGAAGGCCCAGGCATTCTACTCCCAACTGGCATTCTGTTTGCAACAGGCCTTGCCATTCCCATATCCCCATGGGTAGGTACTTCTCCAGAATTAAAAGAAGAAAGTTGCTTCAGAAGCAATTAGGACAAGTTTTCAGCACTCGAACAGCAAGGCAAGAAGAGAAAATAAATGAAGATTTCAGTCATACCACACTTTGGAGATAACGATCATATGCTGATCCAATCGTTTGTGTATCTTTAACAGCCCGAGGACCACCACGATCATCACTTACTAAATAATTGTGCATCTCATGGCCTGTAGGCAATCCAGAGGATGGAAGTTCTGCAGAGAGTGAAAGAAGGGCCTAAATCCATTTGCAATTTACAATAAAGGGAAACTGTTATCAAGACAAACAAAATGAGCTTATTCCAGACATGAAACAACGGATGTCCCTTTAGCAAAGGAATAGAAAATATGTCAAAGAAAATGGGTCCGCAACACTACTTCAATTCAATTAAATCACTCGAGTTCAATGAGTCTAGAAATTCCTATCTTACTATTCAAATTGATCGTTTTAGCAGTTCAGTTATGCTTTCATATTCCACATATATATTCTCTTGACCCTGGCCCAATGAAAATTCTATACAACATTACTTTAAGTTCAATGGACGGGGACCTCTGTAAAAGAAAATTTTAAAAATAAAAAAATCAAGGCTTTAAAAAGACCAATTGTAAATCAAGTGAAAATTTCTTCCAGTCCCCAAAAAACCCTCAGCTTATACTCTAGAAAATCAAGTGAAATTTTCTTTCAGAAAAGTTTTAAATTATAGCAGGTTGTTAACAACTATACGTATGAAATGTAGATCATGCCAAATAAATTGCATGAAGTATCTAAACATAATTATAGTAGGGGATCACAATTCACAAGCCTCATGAATTATATACCAATACGGCTACAATAACATGATATCAAAACTAGATTTTCTAATTTCTTATAAAAACGGCTAAGTCTTCCACTAAAACATGATTATTTATTAAATATATACCAAAAGTCTTTCATCAAATTCTTTTAACCATTAAATTTTGGGAAGTATCTCTTCTCTTTTTTAAGGATGATCTCATGTAATTGCCATTTCATTGCTTTCTTCTCTCTTTAGCTCTCTGTTCCAAGCACCCATCCTCCCTTTTTTATTTATGTTGCTGATTAGGTTTTGAATTTCCTTCCTCCTCTATCTAAAGTTTCCTAATGTTCCTAATCCCCATTCGATTATATCCCACTCAAGTTGTCCAGATTCTAGTATCATTTAAAACCCGAATGTCCACATTATTTTTTACTTCCATGTCTGCTCTCTACTGTCCTATAAAATTCTTGATATTTCACCCAATGGTTCTACAGTCTAAATAGGCATGGTCCCGTTAAGCTCCCCTGTTAACAACACATTTAAATGGGGATCAAGAGTTGTACTAGCCTTCTTTATTGTCTTCAACTCTTGAAATTTTATTAACGATTCCTGGGACACACAAAACCTATTCACTAGGGACTACTCAAGAACATCTCTAAAGCTAAACCAGGTATATCTTCCATTAATTAAGGGAGTTTCGATCATTCTTATCTCATCAACTAACTTATTCAAGTTCATCATGCTTCTTTAATTTCCTGATCCGGCTGAAGATTTCTGTACTATTCTCACTGCATTGAAGTCTCCCCCCGTACACCACTATCCATCTTCCTCACTTTATTCCAGAATTCCTTCCTCTCCATATTAGTTACTTGACCCATAAATACTTAGATACCAGATTTCCATCCATCACCCACCCAAATGAATTTCAATGGATGGATAATTTTTTCCTTGGGCACTCCTACATACTACATTCAACTTACTTTAACCTATAAAGCAATCTGCCACCCAAAATCACTCCCAGACTCAACTTTGAAGCCAACCCAATCCCCCTCAACCTCCACATGGCTTTTACTATATTTATATCCACCCTAGAAATTTAGATTTTTTTTTGGATAAGAACCCTAGCAATTTAATTTTAGATTCTTGTATTAACCCCACATTTGGATGGACCTCTCTTATCATTTATAGCATTACACTATTCCCCCAACCCCCAACGCTTCACATCCCAACTAAGGATCTTCATAGTCAACTGCTTGGCCCTCATTTTCTTCTAGTCTGATTTACTAAACGTAATTGATTGCTGGTGATAATTCAATTACAACTACAACTTTATCGGAATAAACCTTAATTCAATTACCTCGTGAACACTGATTATTCACAGCTAATTTAACAAACCAGTACAAACAATAAGAGAATGTTCTCATTAGTTCTCAAGATATTTCAAGAAAATTTTTCTTCGCTTACAATTTTCATCGAATTTTATACCAGAAAAATCACTATATGCAATAAAACTGCTATTGAGCTCATATACAAGGAGCATAAATGACCGATAAGACTATATGTTATTGACTATATGCTTTGAGTCACTTAGCAAGAAAGGAACCGCAGAATCTTAATAGACAAGTAGGGTACTTCTGATCAATCTTTTGATGCTATAGTCTTACTGTGGTGTAAATGCTCTCCTCTCTTACACCGCTATAGCTTTTCTTTCTTCTCTTTTACCCAATTGAAGAAGTTTTTTGTAGCTCCCGTGAATGGAATTACCCCTTTTCTATAATTTCATACCACCAACGAAATTGTTTCTTAAAAAAAAAAGAAAAAAAAAAGAAAAACGTGTTGAATTCAAAAGGGAACTTAGAAAACAAACTAAATTATAGAAAGAATTTATGGGTAGCAGGAAAGTAAAGACAATAAACACAAAGGCGTACCGTAATCATTACGGGGTCGTTTAAGCATGCCTGGCGAGGGAAGCAGAGGCTGCTGCCGATTCCAATAGTCATCCGCCATATCTCCAGCAATTCTCCAAAATTAGAGCTTCAGAGTGAGACAGAAGACAGAGGGAAAGCGCGATCTTGGGAAACCCGAGACAAATTTATCGAACTTGACCAGCACTTACAGAATTCTAAAACCCTAAAAAGAAGTGGCCATTAATTTGGAGCTTCTCTTGTTTCCGAGCCCGAGTAAATGTTTGGCGCTGGAAGAAGCTCCTCAGACACACTAGGATCCAGTACGCGACACCTCACCGTAGATATTAGCCAACAATCAATTATCTAATTCCACGTCATATCCAGATCAATTAAGTACGGCGATTTGATAACCATTATTTTCTATTTTGAAAATCGAGCTTATAAATACGAATTTCCAGGTTTTGCAATCTAATTTCTGAAAACGTTTTCAAATCTTAATTCAGATTTTGAAACTTAAATTCAAATGTATTTTTAAGATAAATTAGTACAACAAATTGAAATGAGTAGGTGTCAATTATACAATATGGTCAAGGTAACATGATTAAGAATATCTTCATAAAAAAACATAAAAATTCTCCTCCATCTTGCCCGCAAGAAATCTAAATGAGAATTCCTACCTCATTTAGGCGGGTTCCCGTAGGCGAGAGCCCCACGAGTAAAATAGACCCTCTTAAACCATCATGGGATGGCTCAAGTGGTCAATCAGGACCAATGTAAATAGCAAAGGACTTAAAGAGAGAATGAGTTCAAACCATGGTGACCTACCTAGGATTTAATATCCTACGAGTTTCCTTGTCAACTAAATGTAATAGAGTCAGGCGGTTGACCCGTGAATAGTCAAGGTGCGCGCAAGCTGACCTGGACACACAAATATCAAAAGAAAAAAATATATATATATATATGTATAATTCAACATTAATGATTACTTAAAAAAAAAGTAAAACATAAATGGTACTTAATAAATTTATGAGAAATTTTTTATTTTTACCCCTAAACTTATAAAGTATATCAATTTTTACCCAAAATTATCATTTCAGCAAATAAATTCTTAAATTTAGATAAGTGTTCCGATCATAATCTTAAATTCAAATAAGTACTACAATTTTTATCTTCTAATAAGCTTTTGTTTGAATAATCATTAAAAAACAATTCACATGTATTTATTGAATTATATTAATATATATTTGATAAGAATTTGAAAAAGATAAAATTATAGATACGCCTCCCTAAATCTAAGGGTGCAAATTTTTATTTTCCCCAAACTTCTTCAGCAAAGAAATTTCTTTCAATAATATAACATTGAAATTTCAAAATCTAAGCATTTGGAACTTTTTTGCTTTCTATGTGAGACATAAAACTAAGTTTACACGGACAATTTTACAGTCTTGAGTGATAAAATAAGAAGAATAGAACAGAAAGCTTTCTATTCCAAAGCATAATGAATGTTCAATCATTTGAACTTTAAGACAAAATTAAATTGTAGAATATAGATATGAATTTGACAGTGTCTTTGTCTCTCTCCTCCCCTTTTTCCTTGGATATGGTTGAAGGTTAAGAACGAGTGGACGACAGCATCTCCTGCAAAAATGAAACAGAAAAGAGACTGTTCCTTTTCCTGTGCATAAAAGGTTGAAAAAAAAGCTCATGGCCATGTCAATCAAGATATTGACATGATCAACTTCAGAACATGAGAGACATAAGACATAGACAGAGGCAAAGACAACAACATTAAAGCTGCCAAAGAACCAAATTCTGATTAAAGAAATGGTCTGGGGACAGAAGCTCAGAGGAAAAGAATGTGGTTTTTTTCATTTTTTGGTGGGGGGTGAAAAAACAAAGGAACAAAATTTTCTTTGGCTGCTATTATCTTAATGGATGGATTTTATATACACTAAAGATTCGACAGGTGGCAAGGGGTAGAAACCCATTAATAAATTGGCCAAATAAATTGAGAAAGAAGGGTTAGAAGGAAAGAAAGTTATAAACAAAGGTCAAAGGATCCTACTTCCATTTGTACCATTTCCTGCTCGTCTTATCTTTAAAGCCATCACAAGTATTGCAACTGACATAAAATCGTTTGGAGTAGGACTGGACTGGACTGACTGCATTAAACTTCCCTCTTTGCTAGAGTTGCTGGGAAGCTATTGAAACTGCATCATCCGCCCGCTGCGCAGTCAGTCCCGAAACTGAAGACTTGTCCGAGCTGCGAACATTATATCTCTCGTATACCTTGTCGCGGTTTTCTGACCACCAATTTTCTGCTTGATGCTCTCCGAATCTTCTCCGACTGAAAATGCAAGTACAACACAAATTATGGCACACTCGAACTTTTTTACACCATACCTAATATTCTGACACTATGAAATTACATTAGATGTCCAGAACCGTGTGCAACCATTAAAACTAAGACAGTTCTTTCCAAGAAAAACATCTGAAGAGTGTCCCTACCCTACAATTTCACCATTATGGGCTTTAAAATTGTAAATAATTGTAAATGAGTGGACAGAAATTAGTATTTATTTTGGGTGCAAATTCAAGTTCGTCCAAAAATGTTCTATGAGTACACGTTCTAGATAACATGGAGGCCATAATTTATAATTTTCTAGAGCCCAAATAAAACTCATTTTGCAAATAGGGGAGCTTCAGCACATGGATTGCATATTCTCACCCAATAATTAAATCAAGGACTAGTCAARTTGCAAGTCATGCCAAAGAGACAATGATCACTGTATTTCTAGATGCTGAAACCTAAAAGGAAACAAGGAAAAGAAATATCACCTGAAGCGCACACGTTTCAGATCCCGAGTACCATCCCGCAGAGCCACGAGAGTAATATATACACCAGGCTCGTATTGCTCAATCCATTCAGCCTCAACTTGAGTAGCATTGACCAGTGCAGAAGTTTTGGCTCTAGAATTGTTATCACCATCTTGTAAAGACTCAGAGTCCTTGCCAACAGCTGCCACCGATGCACTACTGCTAACTGACTGAGCCCCTCCATTATATGGCAGTCTAGCATCTCGATTGTCAATTCTTTCTTGTTGCATAATACTTTCATTCGTTCCAGAAAGCTCCCTGGATGAATGAGCTGGGCCATAACTTCCTCGCCAAGCAGCAGCATCAGATGCCGTCGGAGATGCACAGGAGTAGCTGGTAAGTGAATCAGATCGTGAATGACGTTCTCCATTCATATTCAAATGGTAGATTCCATTCGACTCCAAACCATTTGAAAGATGAACGGATCTCATTTTCTCAGCATCATATACTCCAGGAGGTAACCTCTCAGCCATATCTTTGAGCTGGAATAATTATAGGATGTAATCCATTATTAGAACCACAAGTACTGTACTAAAAAAATAATAAAAAAATACAAAAAAGACACCACAAGTACTACTTTCAAAACAATTCTCAGGATGGCTAAGCATTGCGTAAGGGGGAAAAATAAATTGTAACATGGTAAATATTTCTATTAGAAGCCCGTGTCATTTCCTCCTATTGCTCTAGGTTATATACATCATCTATTCATTCAACTACACAAATAGCTATAAGTTAATTTTTTATGAATGAATATTTTGTTCATCAGACACGACCACACTTTACCTCATAATATTATCAAAATGATGGTTTATAATAATTTTAATGCATTCTGCTCTTCGAACTGGAACAAATATTAACTAAAAAGCTCCAGAGACATCAAGCTTTGCAGAATAGAAAAAATACATTTTAAAAGAAAATGACCTGAGCAGTTAGTAACTTGATGACTTCTTTGGCCGCTTTTGATTTACCAGATTCCTCTGCAGCCAATGCCATAGCTTCTCGTGTTTTCTTCAAAGATTTTTGAAGCTCTAATTCCTGTAGTTCACATTTCTGTCTCAGGCTCTCAACCTGTAATATTAGACATAAAGATATCCAGTCATGAAACTAAATCCACCAAATAGTGCTCAGATATTTATGACCCAAAAGGAACGAAAACCAGTTCAAGGAGAAATTTCTTTCCTTTATTTCTAGGTGCAGTTCTTTATATATAAAGAGTCCTGTGACTATTCTCCTTTATTATCCATACCAATTTAGAAAGTCAGAACAATCTCCTTCGGTTTTGAGTGGGAGATTCCTTGTTGCCTTTTTGGTATCTTCTTTTCTTAAATGGATGTCTCTTATGTTTTGATTTTGGGATGGGGGTGTAGAGGGAAGGAAGGTAACGACAACCAGGAGGAAAAAATGGCTTACCTGTGAGCGTAATTTAACCACTTCATGATTCAAAAGATCATTTGTTTTCTTCAAACTATCGGTTATACTTTTCGAAAAGGAAAGTCCTGACGCTGTAGGAACAGGAGTAGCAGATCGAGGAGGGCTTGGTTTCCTTGAGAAAGGTGACACAGACCTAGAACTTACTCCAGAAGCAGTGAGGACTGGTCTGGGAGCTGTTCGTCGCAGATCAACAGCAGTTGATAATACAACATCTCTAAGCTGCAGTAGTGAAGGTGCTTGAGAGGATCGAACAAGGGAGAAGGTATCAGCCTTCTTACCTTGTTTAGCCGCTTTGTTGTCTAATTGCTTTATCAAATCCATATTGGAAGGCACTGACTTAGACATTCGCATATCAGTCTTGTCAATCCTATCCTTGTTCTCACCTGAGAGGCGAGGCAAAGCATTTTTCCTATTGTTACTACTAGCTTCTGATGCCTTAATCAGTTTTGCATAACATGAATCACATACACGATATGGTTTTCCAGGATTAGGTGCAAGTGCTGCTCTTAATGCTTTTCTTGAACTGCAAGAGTGGCAGTGCACAAGTCCACAATTATAACAGTTGTGTCTCTTCCGTGTAAATCCAAATGCCTGTCTGCAAGCAGAGCACTGTGACTGCTCGGCACTGGAAACCCATTTGTGAAGACAAATGGCAGCTGTGTAATTTGAACCACATGCTATATATTTCACATGTCTGTCCTTCAAAGCTTCTACTAACGTTGGTATCTTCCGATCTTCAACATCACCATGGCCCAATCTCCCATTTGCACCCTTTCCCCATGTATAAACTTCATTTTTGGACGTTAAAACCACTACATGATACGCACCACATGAAACTTCTTCAACGGATTCCCCAAAAAGCTTATCCTCTACCAAGCAAGGTATCTTTCCATCTGCACTGGGATTCCCAAGTTGACCATAAACAGTACTTCCCATCGAGAAAACTTGTCCTGAAGTGGTCAAACCAACAGTAATGCTGTGACCACAAGCAACTTTGTGAAAATCATAATCAATTAGTGCTGGCACGCATGTGGGTTTAAGTCTGGGTTCCTTATCTCCATGCCCCAGACGGTTTTTATCTCCATCGCCCCACGTAAATAGTTTACCTGATGAAATGCTTGCACTAGATTGTGTCACAATAACTTCAACTACAGCAGCAGTATGCCAGACCCCACATGCAACAGCAATTGTCCTCAAGCCTGATAAAGATTCCACTTCTTTTGGATGTGAAATATTTTCTCTGTCTCCATGGCCCAGTGCACCAAATGTTCCATCACCAAATGTGAATAGCTGACCCATYGATGTTACCAAAGCTGTGTGCCATGGACCACATGTCACTGAAGCAACTTGAAGTCCTTCAAGCGGACCAGAGACTCTCTTTGGTATCCAGTGGCTCACATCACTGCCATGACCAAGAAGCCCTGCATTATGTGTACCATCACCCCATGTATAAAGCTCCCCAGTCATTGTAACAGCACATGTATGGAACTCTCCGCAAGCAACAAAATCAATACTACTAGCTGCCAAGGATTCAACCATACGAGGTTGAATTACATCCTTCACCACACCATGGCCAAGGCGGCCTCCAGATTCCTCTCCCCATGTGAAAACTTCCCCTTGCCTTGTCACTAGGGCAGCATGCCTGACGCCACAGGCTATATGATGTATGTCTAGAACAATGTTGGACTCCAAAGGTCTTGGCAGAAGTACATCTGTCCTCAAGGTCATGTAACTACTATTTTTTTCAGCTCCAATCTTCACAACATTGTCACCAACAATCTCACCCCATATGTATACATCACCTAGAGCATCACAATCATCTGGTGCAGACCCATGACTAGAGGTGCTGGGAGCACTTGAAACACTAACTCGCATAGCATCAGAACTAGACCCTTTTACTTGCATGTTCGTTTGGTTTAGTGATACATGAGCCCTTTCAGAGTTTGTAGAGTAATTTTCAGGTTGAGAAGTCTTCAGAGATATATTTGTGTTGAAACTGACAAGAACTTCTGGAGAACTATTATCTCTATTCACGCTGTGTGAACTGTCACTTGGGCTATTTGAAGTCAGTTCACAACTGTCCTGAAATGACATCAGCAAACCATGTATTAAAATAGCATCCAAGATGAAATCAAAGTTACATGTGATATAGTATTATACATAATTGATAGCATAATTTTTCAAGAAGACAGTGTCTATATTTATGAAGGAGTGTATTAAAAGGGGATTCAAAATTGGAAACTTTCTAAAATCAACAGCTAAAGATTAAAACTTCATGAAATGACATTCTAGAATTGTGCATCATGTTATAAGATTAAGGACGACTACACCGATATCTGTAAATTAAGGGGGGAAAGAGGCATGCAAGCGGACTGCACAAAGTTACTATTTAGTTCCACTGTCCTAGTTTCTGTTTTTGTCTCAATGCCTCTTTCTTCTCTTCATTTTTGCTACTTCAGAGATCTTCAGTTATTCTCCCTGTACATGAGCAGGATTCCACCATGATCTTCATCCTCTTGCTGCTGGAACTCCATTTTGAATTCAATTTATCCAGCCATTATGGGTTTCAAAATTGATTTTTTCAGTGCAAATAGGTAATGAAGACCAATAATCACAGCTATGGATCCTTCTATTAGAAGTTTCCAGAACTGAGTTCATGATGCTCAGTTGACTCGTGGACTGAGAAACCCTCTGATGCAATCTTGACCAAGCAAGTTCAAACGGTTGTCTGAATGAGCACATGAACACTTAGTAAATCTAACCTCCAGACTATCAACCCCGTGACTTGTTCCAGATACTGGCTACTGATCTACTAGTTATTAGAGTAGTCAGGAAAAGTTTTTCCCCCATTTTTTCTGGACATCAAGGCATTATTCAAAAGGAATAAATCAATACCAAAAAGGGGTGGTACATAAGCAATCCACATGGCCCAGGGAGCGTACAAAGAATTGGCCCTATTCGCATTGATCAACCAGATGTGAAATTATTCGATATGGTGAGCTCTAATGTCTAAAGTCAGTTCTAAAAGGAACAATGCTTCATTTCTATTTTTATTTTTAAAAATCAGTAAATCACAGACATCGAGCACACAAGATAATCAATAAAACAATTGACTCTAGGGAACAATAAAGCAAGTAGAACAATCCATGAAAGGCTTTCAAGAATAAAAAGTTTACATCAAGATAGAGGCCTCCATCACTCCAGCCATCAATCTTGGAACGCCCACCTTGACCAGATGCTATTAAAGCTTTCAGGCCTGCAATCCAAGCCTCTGCCTCAACTTTATCCTTACAAATCTAAGGAGAAATAACATACCACCATTACCATTGAATCAAAAGACCAGGAAAAGGTAACGATTTTAAGAACAAAGGAGAGAACAAGTTTTCATCACCAACCAGATCAAGGGATCGCTTCCCGTTGTTGTATATAAGAGAGAATGATAAGTAATCCTTGTCAGGACGAAGATATCTTTCAAAGACAGCCTGATCGAATTCAATGTAATAGTAAAATAAATATTAAGAGTTGAGTAATAATGTACGCTAATTGCATCAAGTAGGAATAACTATTATGGCTGAGCATTAGAGTGGTAACAAATAAATCGATATCTTACAGTTCTTTGCCCAGGAATAATTTGTGAGATTGAAGCTAACTTCAAACTTCTTTCACCTTTACTTGAAATCCAGATCAAAGATGATTCATCCTAAAATTAAGAAAACAACAGGAATAATGCAAGGAATACTATCAAGCAATTGAAAACATGAAAAGCTGACTAAACCATAACTATATCAAGTTTAAGATCATTAAGACTTGATAAAAGTCAATATTAAGACTAGATCTCTTTGTTGCTGCAATATTAGAACTTCCCATGGAAAAATATGTTAACATACATTCTTTATTAACCAGATGTCATTTAGAAAACAAAAAGCTTTTCATCCATAGCAATGTGTACCAAGACAACTATGTATTTTTCAAAATGGTTAACTTTGCAATAAGATAATTTCACCACAAAAGCACACTCAAATTTTTTAGGTTCTTTTTTTTTTTTATGTTTTGCATTCGTACCTACATTTTTACTCACATTTGCATAATTTTGTTGACAATTAAGTTGTCCATATGCATACATCCACATGAAGTCTATTAAGATAATTTTCTCCTTCGATCTCCCCTAAAAAATCCAAAGAACATAATTTGTACCAAACAAGTAATAATTATCATACTAAGTTGCAATATTTCATCAAGATGAAGCCAAAAGTTGCTCTGATAATTCACTTTCTTTAAGATAATGAACTACTTAATTCAAAATCATGATGGCAGTTACAGTCTAGCAGATAACGAGCCAGTAAACTGACTGAATAACATTTCATTCACTATGAAGTAAAAACAGTGATCCAAACAGGGATAATAATCAGATTACAAGGTTCTTGAAACTCGTGAAAGGAAGAACTCTATGCATCAGATCACTCAAAAACCAACTTCTTCGACTCTGTTCTCGTATTCAAATCATAAAAATTGATCCCTAGTTTCTTGCAATTAAATAAGCCACTGAATAGCAGCAACGCAGAAGCATTGCAAAGAAAAGATAAGCAAGTATTACCACCCACTTTTCATCAATGAAAATAAGCTAATTTTGTAACTGCACAAACAGAAAAGAAAAAGGTCTAAAGGAAACTTTTATAAGACTAATTAAAACCACTTTTGGAACCAAACTCACACTAGAAAGCCTAAATGGACAGAACTTCGGCTTTCCTTTACGACCATATTTAAGCAGTTGAGCGCCCTTCTTCAATGCAATTAATGCCTGCAAGATAAAATCAACCTTGTAAACCTACCACAAAGAGAAATTTTAATCATAAGCAAAGTCGGCTATTGAAGAATAGCAGAGCAAGAAATATGGCCTGGAGAATTTGGTTTCTGCTTCACAACGATGGAGAAGTAATAAATGAAAATATTTGAGGGGGAAAAACAAGAAAGAGAAACCACTATAATACCCTTAGCCTTAAGCATTTAGTGCTCAGAAATCACATGACCATCAACCGCAGGTCAGTTTTAAATAACACAGGTAGTTAATACTTCACTCTCGGCCAATTTCTAATAGTTTTTGTAATTATCAGTTAGGTGTTAGTTTTTGGACTGGAGCCTCTTTCTTTAGGGGGTGTTCTCTAGTCGTATTTTTTTTTTTTTTGTATGTCCTTGTATTTCTTTTCATTTCTTTCAATGAAAGTTCGGTTTCTTATGAAAATAAAAAGTACCGCAGGTAGTCACAAATTCTATAAGTGATTGTTTAACTAAAATAAGATCACCAATATATTTTTAAAAAATTCAGACAAGTTAGGATAACTTGAGTCTCTTCAGAAATTTCCAAATAGTCAGATATGAGTATTGGCATCTAGGTTACTCTTACAGCCTTGAAAACTAAAGAAGTGGCCAAGCAGCATAACTCCAATTGCCAAAATCAGATGTTAAATTAATCAAATTAGTCTGTCTAGAATTATTTAGAACTTGACTTTTAAGAACTTTATATATCATCCCGGAGTACTTCCTTAGAAGTGTTAAAAAGGAGTTCTAAAGTTCAAAACTAGAATAAAATGCCAAGCTGAAGAATTGCTCCCTCAGTCCACTTTACACTATACTTAACTAAAGGGAGTAGTAAACTTTTGAGCAATGAGAAAGAAGTCGCAGATTTCCATATGCTGTACACTCCTTGTTCTCATCCTAAAATAGAAAGGAGAAAAAAAAAATTCGTATAATAGACTCAGCTAACTGACCAGGAACAAAAAGGGCAATGAATGATCAAACTTTCAACAATCAGCCTGTCTTGCAAAAGAAAAATAAATCTCCAAGCAACTCTGCCCAATGAACTATTTAACCATATAATCGGGCATTTTGTATCTTTGAAAGAAAAACATAGATAATTTTAGTATCCAAGCCTATGTAAATATTTCATTAAAATGAAAATAGAACCGAAATAAGATCCTTAAATTGCGTATCCTTTGGCTTTTCTATTTGATCGAAATTAAGTCTGTAGAATATATGAAGGAATTGGCCACGGAGCATGACTTGATTCGAAATAGTTCAATTTACTGGCTCCAAGTTAATGGGAAAAGCTCAATCCCGAAGGAATTTAATCAGCCCATCAAAGGTCAGCATGTTCTCAACGCCAAATAGCTACCGACTTTGTATATCCAACAGTTATGAGTCAATGTCGAGAGAAATAGAGAGCCCAAGTTAAATTGTGTAGCAGAGAAAGTATCACGAAAATTTTCTCTTACTCGATTCAATTTTGACCAAGAACATCCCAACAATTCCGCACATTCAGCTAATAACGTTAAATAAATTCGGAGCTCCCAAAACAAACCCAACGCAAGAAAGTCGGGTATCAAAAGAAGAATAATAAAATAATAATAAAACGCGCAAACGAAGATGAAAAAGGAGACCTGTTCGATATCACGGTCGGCATTTGCATAGCTAAAA